AACCTAAATGGTTACACATTTTCACTGATTTAGTGTTGATGTAAGTGATCTTGAGAAAGCGTAGAAAACCAGCCACTGATAAACAGCTGCTGAATCTCAAAACCTCTTCCAATGGTGTGTTACATCTACATCCTTAGAGGTTTCACCATTAATCAAACTTCTTCACTCTGATTAAGTTATGAGGCTTAAGCAAGAGCAAGGCTACAGTGAGAGATAGCTTTTCTTTATGTCATTAAGTGTTTTTCTTTGAGGGGGAAAAAAAAAGGTTACAAACTCTTACCCAGTTTATTTGTGGGCATATCTCAGCCACAGCAACTTACAAACTGTGATAACAAGCAATGTATAGATGCCTTCTGTGCACAGAAAGGCAAGAGAAACAGTTAAGAAAAGTGAATGATGATTTTGCTGATGCAAAATGCAAAAATTAAGAGGAGAGGTTTTTTAATCAGCTTTATTTCTGGTACTGTCCTCACCTCCTCCATCTGTAGGGGCAGTGCAGTTTGGTCCTAGCCTGTAAAGACTGTGGATTTTCCTCTTCCAACATTGAAATCACACTGCAGGTGAATGTGTGCAATACTGCCCTTGCTCCTTTGTAGGTGGCCACCAGCATAAAAACAGAGTGAACAAATTGCTTCTTATACTCAACTAAAGTGTTTTGTGAACTAAGACTTGTTCACACACAATTGACCAATATGACATCTTGTTGCCTGATACATCTGTGCTGACATCAGAGCAAAACAGCATAGATGCCAACAGAACCAGAACTTGATTCCCCATGTGTTAAACAAGCTCTTGTGTAAAGCCCCTTGTGCAGGCAGACGGAATGTCTTTTATTTGTCTCAAGTTTAACTGAGTGTCTCATCTAAGCTGGGTTACATAAACCAAGGGGCTTATCCAAAATTTTTGCAGGTTTTATTTCTTTAAATGAAAATATTCCTATTAAAGCTGAGTGAACCAAATATTTCACAGGCAGAAGGAAACCTAACGAGACAAAGAAAAACAAACTTCCTATAATTGAGTCATGCTGCAAGCTTTTTTCCCCTTATGTCTAGAAGTCTGACTGTTTAAATTGGTGCAGATGAAAGGAAATCCTGCTGGAGGAAAGGCACTCCACTAGAGCAGGGGCTTTGTGAAGAAATGAAGGAACTTAAGGAATTCATGAAGGACTGCATTCAATCCCAGTGCAATACTCTGATTTTACAGCAGAGATCTGTGTCTTTTCTACAATTAGAAATGCTTGAAAGAAAAAAAAAAAGATTTTGTTTTTTAAAATAGGAGAAGGAGACAATTTTAAGTCAGCTGACTGGTCCTTTTCCTGTCTTTGCTAGCAACTGCCTGTGTCTTTTTGACCAAACCACTGCTTCTCACGACATCTGTTTTTGGATCAGTGAAAAGGGACATAACACAATGCTGCCGAGCTTGTGCTTCTGCAGTGGGCTGTGAGTTTACTGATGCGGAACGCAAGGTTAGGATATTTGTTCACTCACTGACCCCTGAACTTTTTCTAATGAAGATGTGTTTCTCCACTGAAACTGCATTCAGATAGGATTTTGAAGAGTATATATTTATTTGCTTTTTGGGCTATTTTTTCACTAGTAAATGCAGTCTGTGGGCTCCCGTTGGTCTACAGACCACAGTTTGAAAATCACAGCACTAGGACAGCTTTTGTGGTATGATCAGGAAAAATTACATTAGAAGCACTCTCCAGGGGGCAAGAACACATCCTTTTCTAGGAAAAAAAATAAATAAGCTGGCTGCCCTTTCTTGTTCAGAATTCAGTGAATGCTAAAAAGAGAAAGCTTATACTGCTAGGAGGCCTGATACACCAACTCCTTTCTTGCTGCCTTTAAAAGGAACACAATTAGAATATAACTTTAGGAAGTCCTTCTAGGTAAGGAAACGGTGCTATGAACTGTTGAGTGCCCATGTCAGCTCTGGAACCAGAAGAGGGAAGGGTGTCAGTTTCCTGCTGCGTTGTGAAAGGTCACTTCCAAAATTGCAGACCCCTCCCTGAGAAAATTTCTACCTAACTTTCTCATTTAAATCACAAACCATGGATTTTTTATAACCAATTTTCATTCATAATTTTGTGATGTTCAAACCTTTCAATGCCATGTAATTTTCTCTACAATTCCTGTCTGTATTTTTGTCAGGTCTGTTGATTACACTGTGCTGTGGTCATGATTTGGCTAAGTTTTCATAAGAGGCTCTGGCTTGTTTGACACTACAGAATAAGGTGGAAGATCCATGCAGAAAGCAGCTGTGTGTCAGGGGGAAAAGGTCTTCTTGATGGCATAGATGTTCAGCTTTAATTCTGAAAGTATAGATTTAGGTTTCAGGGAATGTTCTGTTACCTATCATAATTCCAGATGTTCTAGAAGTGTTTGGTATCTTGAAACAGTACAGTCTTACTAGGTTCAGTGCCGCTTGCCTCAGTGAGTCCTGCAGGCTCTGCCTTTACAGGTATTTCCTTTTTTGTCAGTTCTGAATTTGCACCCTTTCAACTTCACTGTATTAAAGTGAGATACAACAGGATATAGTTCATCTATCCTGCTTGTTATGTATCTGGTCTGAGAAGAGAAAGTCAGTCTTTTCAGTGTCCTCAAACAAGATGTTTCCAGTGACCCCATTTTGAGCAAAAAACTGTATTCTAATACAATTTACGCTACACCATGTCCAGGTTCCAAGTTCAGTGAAAAGGGAATAAATATGACATAGCAGTTTGTGAAGACAGGAAAAAAAAATGTTTTAAGCCTGATAGTTTCAATGCCAATTAGCCAGTAGATGACCTATGAAATACTAAATAACATTTTGTCAATTAACAGAGTTTGTCAAGGTTGCACATTCATTTTCCAGTAAAATTGATCACTTTAGTGAACTAACAGCACTACTGATTTCAAATGGACTCACCAGCAAATGCATTTTCATTGTTTGTTTTCTCAACTGAATTCCAATTTCTAGACATTTATGATTTGTGAGTATTTAGCATATTACTACAGGAAGAATTTATTTGCTATTTGTGTCCATAGGGTGTAGCTTTTGGTCCTTGAATGGATGGCTAAAGTTTTTAAATGCTGGGTTTAACAACTACTATTGTTTGTACATGACAGCACAACTGATTGTGTTTAGGAAAACAAAGCAGTATATCTGGATCATTTAGATATTAAAGAGGCTTAAAAGGCATTAGAAGAAATAGGTTGTTTGTTCATTCATTGACTGCTCCAGTCTTTTCCATATTAAGTATCTTTAATATCTGTCACACATATATCACTTTACACAAAATTCTGTATGAGTTTTAATTCATTTAAATATTTTCCACAACACTGAGAAGTTCAACTAGCTAGTGCATAAAAACCAGAATACGAAAATGACTCAAGAGAGTCCAGGTTAGCGATTGCACTGAGTGTACTTGGTAAGACAAACAAGTAGTAAAAAACATGGAAAGTCTATTTGGTTGTTAAAATTATTTTCCTGTAAATACTGAAAGAGATTCTCTGCAATCAGATGTTCAAACACAATTTAAAAAAAAAACCAAACAGTGAATTACAAATGAGCAAGCAAACAGCAACGTGTAGGTACTATAGACTTCAGCTGACTAAATTTGGGGGGACCATTTTCCTAACTTAATTGCCTTACAGCTGGAATTTTCTAGAGATGAGAAACGTTAAGATCTAAATTTGACTTATATGTATTTCTAAATCATTACAAAGACAGGTGGTTAGATAAGAATTGCGAGAAAGACAGGGAATGTTGTGCATTGATTAAGCTTGTGTCAATAACTCAGCTAGCTGCTCTGGAATACACTATTACTTAATAAGCAGCTTGTTAGCAGGGTGTGATGGATGCTTCTCTGCCTTCTTGTCTTTGGGACAGGGCAGACAGCAATCTCGTTTTAGCCTTAAGTAAAAACATATGATTCTTTTCTCTGACTGTTGATATGAGCACTGGGTGAAAGAGTAAATGCACTGCCTTTCTCCTGCTCTTTCCCCATTCCTCTGTCAGTTACTAGGGGAGAAATAGGCATGCTCCTAAAAAATACCAGGAGTCTGGGCAACCCTGACAGACCAGGAATGGTTATTTTTGGTACATCTAAATGATGAAATGGAGGAGAGACTTAATTTAGCTCTTGCATTTTGGAAAACAGACTTTCCTAACTACTGTTAATTCTCCTTTAACATGTATAAATAGGAATGTAGACAATTTCCAAATGACCAGAGATGGCTTTGCATAAATGCCTTGAATACTGACCGGTGGGATTTTCTAAGGGACCAGAGGAAATCTCTGTGATTTAGAGCTAAATCTTAACAAACCGACACTGCAACAATGAACATTTACATTTGACCACAATTGAGGAATCCAGAAACCCCAGTGAATTATCCAAGTATCTCATCCATGCCCAGAAAGAATTGGGTTCCAGAGAACAGGCTAAAAAAGCCAGCATGTTGAAAACGGAGTCACTTTGAGCTACGTACAGACAACTAGCCTCTAGCCATAGAGACTGAAATGAAGTTCCCACTCCTTTTTTAGGGTTTACATTTGGGGAGGTAGCTTTCATTCCCTAAGAACTCGGTTATTAGAAAACTCACACACACAAAAAATGAGACTCCATTGTGAAGTCTCCCTCAGCTGACAGGAACTCAAATCTACTTCTGCTGCCCAGAACAGCACCATTGATGATGCTTGTGAATTATTCTGGGCAGCAGAATGGCCTTGCAACTTCTGTTGGGACTGGGCTCTTGTGCAGTAAACAACCCATGGTTTACTTAGCCAGACAGTTAACAAAAGGAGGAGTACCTGCAGTCTGCCCATCTCCTAATATGCACATATGCACACACATACACGGACTGTGAGATTTTGGGGGTCTCAGTTTTTCATTAGTTACATAAATTATAGCTAAATCCTTCTCTGGGTTCCCAAACCAATCACTGGTTCAGCTACTGAGAGTGTAAATCCCTTGCGCTCCTTTGGAAGTTGCAGCCTACCTTTTTTCCCCCACTAGGCTATCTAGAGCTGTGCAGGTGAGCACTGAGCATCTCCTTTGCTTTGATGAGTGCTGTGTCAGCTGGTGTTTCTATGTGAGGACGTACCCCTTTCCCTTCCCAAGAAGTGCTCTCTGTAGAGGTGATTGATCTGGAGGTGGGGATGATGATGTAGAAGTTGGTACCATCTACTTGATGTGTCTGTGGGGAATGGCAGCCACCACTGGTCTGTTCCCCCATGATGAGAGCTCTGCCCAGTCTCTTCATTATGTATACAAACTCTTCAGCAGCCCCAGCCGTCACAGCACTGGTGAGGATTATTAGCCCCTTCTGAGAGCCATACCTCTCCCCTGCCAAAAAGGACAAAAAGCATCAGAAAAGGTATCCATTTTCAGAGATCCATTTGCATAACGGGGCAAGAGAAGCCAAGATACAACATACTTCATTCCCTACCTGCTATTATCAACCAAGGAAGTTTGGAAATTTACTTTGGACCTACGATGGTGTCAAAGCACTTTTTTCACTAGCCCAGCCTCTCTACTGTAAAAAAGACTGTCACTCCACGTAGTGCTTTTGTGCTATCAGTTTCTGGTTATGAGTTCCAGCAGCTGGGAGGCCAGTTCATGGTTACTACTACTGGCTCCTCTGTAGCTTTGACATTTACAAGAGCTCTAGATCCCACCAGAGGAGTGGGGTAGGCAATTGAGGAATGCAACATTTTCCACTGCTCCCGTAGGAATACTCAAAGCTCAACCAGCAGCATCTTTGGTTTCACTTTCATCCCTGGTCGAGGAACACGGTTGTTACAGAGCTTGGCCTGCAAACTATGCAGGCAGCATCTTATAAATTTATAACTGTCATGGTTTCCCACAGGCTTTTTATAGTCTATAAATGGAAGCTGTTACATGGCCTTTGACCCAAACCCTTCAACAAATATTCCTTTATTATTAGGATCTGAGTCATCTCATTTTCTTACATAAACCATCTGACAGGAGTAGGAGGTTTTCTGCTCCTTATTTTCAATATATCTGAACATGCTAGATAGTTTTTGAGAGCCTAGTCCCTTTGAGAAATTGTCCAGTGCATCATAACTGGAACTTGATAACTTGGAAACTACTCTAAACTGCTATAAAAAGTAATTCTTTAACTAAATTACAGTATGATATATAATTCTCATATGAAACTGTGAGAGAGGGGCCAATAGCATGGTAATTAATTTTCACACCATCTTTGCTCTTCTCATTTCACTATAAATGTAATATTCATTAGAAGACCTTTTTCACATTAGATATGTATAATACAGGGCCAGAACCAGTTCCTTTGAAGTTCACATGAGTCTGCCTGTTCTCTTTGATGGGAACTGGAATGTGTCCATAGTAATCATATCCCTTAGCACAGTCCACCTCTGACTGCCTGGGAAAACAGATGGGCCCTGCAGCCTGCAACAAAGTTTAACCATTTCAGCATGATCCAAGCCAATAATTGCAGACACCATTGTGACACCTTTTTTGGTACCTCCTTAGCTTTAAAAGGGAAAAGAATTAAAACCAATGTTTAAAGCTTCTTAGCACTCTAATTGCACTTTATGAGTGCTGAAGAGCTCTGTTTCTGCATGTTGCAGCATCCTTTCGACTTCCATGAGCAGCAGGGCAGGGTGGTGTGTGTGACACACTGCCAAATGCTCCAGTCTTATTCAGATGTGCAAAATTTAGCCATTTTCTTTCTCTCTTGCATTCTCTGGACAAACTGGGCTTTGTGGGTGTTTTCATCTACTGAAATACTGGATTACACACGTAGGAAGTGAGGAGCTACATATAAAACTATGCGTATTGGAAGAAATATTACTAGAGGTCTTGGCAGCCCAGGATTTATTTTTAATTTGGCAACATTTAAAAGCAACAAGTCACAACTGCTGTACACGGTATTCAGCTAAACTTGTGGGGATCAGTTTACAAACCTCCATGCCTAACATACCCCATTCCTAGGGGCAATGAACTGTTATTTGTAGATGGCATTCAGTGACATGGCTGAAATGCAGATTTTTGTTTTTACGTTCTATGCACAACCTGAGATAATCATGGCAGGTGCTTTCACCAAATGAGTCATGGTGTCTTACGGCTCACTTTAAATACACAAGGAGGGACATCTGAAATGAAAAGCTACTCTAAAAAGAAATTGTCATTTTACCTTTGAGCTGTGGCTGAGTCCATATTTCCTTTACTGAGTCACTGGGTCTGTTGTAAACTTTGTCCAAGAGAATTTGGTGTCCTTCATCAAAGAAGTATGAGCATAGGATTGCTATGGAATTGGTGAAGCCTCCAATATTGTATCTTTTCAAAAATTAAAAATATTGAGGAAACAATTGAAAATTTGTGGCACACAGTAAATCTTCTTTCCAGGTATTTTTTCTTAACATCAGTACTGAAAGGGCTTATGGCTGCATTTTGCTACGTTTACATTCATTCTCCCCCACCAGCATTTGCACATTTATCAGAGAAACAAAACCCTGTCTAAAAGTCTGTGACTGTTACAACCTACAACTGACTTCAAAAGCAAACATAAAACTGAATGGTCTATTTTTTTTCTTGATTCAACCTGGAAAAAATTCAGAAAGTAAGCAAAGGATCTTTATCTGCAGAGAAACATTAGATTCTTGCTATTCTTCTCTAAATAACCATGCTGCAACTGACATAGGCAGCATGAGTAAATACCTAAACACTAATATATAGATGTAGATCCTAATTTAAGCAACGTGATGGTAGAACTGTTGTGTTCTTATTTACTGCAGCACACAATGAGAATACTTGGTGTTTGACACCTTACAAGATCAGGCTATTAGCCTGATTGCATTAGCCACTTCATTTAGTTTGAAAACTTGTTTGTAGTTTAATTTCATAGTAGTCTCTGAAGATTAAATTCACTGAAGGGCTTAGGTATCATTGGAGAATCCCAATGGAATAGCAGATTATTTTTTGTCTGTCACTTTTCACTAGTACTGGGGCACATACAGCACTGGAAATGTTTATACTTTGCTCACTAGTAGGAGACAGATACAGTGCTTTCCTGTAATTGATGTTAGGAGTGCCTGGTACAGACATGCCAGCAAAAATCTGCTAGAAAATGAATTTTGTTCAGTGCAGTCCATAAGTAAGCTTTTTTCACCTCCAAAAAAGGATCAGACAATCCAGGAGGCCTCTGTCCCGAACAGTGAAGCTACCTCTTTACTCTGCAGCATTTGAGCTGTACGCTGTATTCACACTGTGAATGGCTAGAACTGAAATAAACCTCTTCAGTGTGTCCTGCATAGTGCTGTGCTGCCAGGAGGTCCTGCTGCTGCCACACAGCCCAGGAGGCAGCTAGACCCAGCAGGGCCCAGTTTCCTGCAGCTGCCATTATGGCTGAAGTGAGTGGCAAGTAGACAGCTAGAGCAATGCTGGAGAGCTCTTCCTGGGACTCCCTTGTATCTAGGACAGTGAAATTGCAGAAACTTTAGTCAGTAATAATGACTGAGCAGTTGTTAGAGTTTTAGCGTAACTCTTGGAGGCAAGTATTTCCTTCATTACAGACTTCTTGTGTGACACTAGGGAAGTTGTTTAGTTTATCAGTGTCTCTTCTCAATGCTGTGAAGGTTAAAAGTACGAAGATCATGAGTGGCACAGCTGTTCCATGAAGGGGGACTGTTAAATTGAGAGACATTATGTATTATGGTTAATCCCATGCAAAATTGAAGTTGTCAAAATATGAAGTCCATGAGTCACCCAGCTGTTCCAGGGAGGGAAACTTGTAAAATAAGAAATATTATACATTACAGTTAATCCCATGCAAAACTGATATTATCAGCCTTGCCTTAAATTCATAAGATTGGTTTAGGGAGAATTTCAAAAGGTAAAATGTTTGGGGTTCTCTTTTATATGCTTTCAGAGACTGGGTCTTTTGTGTACACTCAAAGACCTGGAAATACATTAAATATAACAAAAACCCAAAGCAACCCAAGAAAAGAACTATAATGAGACCATTTGGTACCTGGGACATGATTTCACTTTTGCTGGTTTATTGCTCCTAGTCCTGATGTGAGTTTTAGCTTGGGAGGAAACTGGGGCAAGAGACAGGAAAGTCCCAGTCCTATCTGAAGTCTATTGGAAGACGGTGGTGCCTTTGTTGAATTTTAATTCAGTTAAGGGTGTGTTTTGTTGCTGCCCTGCCTCCTCTGTGCTCACATAGTGAGATCTCTGTCTCTGCTCTCATCACCGTGCTCATCTTTTCCTGCACACACTGCAAATCCCAGAAGAATATTAAGATTACCAAATACTGAGAGCCCTATGATGACAACAACCATAAGTGGTTCTAGCATTGTAAATGAGTTCTTACAAAGGCCTTTTTTTCTTTAGTTGATATTTGCAAACTAGATGTTGTAACACAGCCTTACGTATGGTCTGGTTTTTTGACTGTTCAACCACTTTACCACTGGCTGCAGTAAAAGATTTAATTAATCCATGTGTATATATATAATTAATACAAGACACATGCAGAGTTAGATTAGAAAGAAATCAGAGAAAGAAAACGGATGTGACATCAAGGATTGCATTTTGCAACTTATTCCCTAAATTTGCCTATTTAGTACTAAACATCTCAAGTGATGGCACAATTTATCTTGAGATACAGTTCCAGACTGTTATTGTTTTCCTTGGTTGTTTTCCTTTTCTTATTCAATCCCAGCAACGTTAGCCTGTAAACAGGACAGTAAGTTATGTAAAGCTAATTCACCATTACAAATAAAATGCTGTTTTGAAAGAGCTTTGCTTATTTGGCATTACAAGGTTTACCTCATGTCTATGATTAATGCATCTGTGTGAACAACCTTCTTCCAAACATGCTCTACCAGTAGGTCGGACACCTGGTTTAGAAGTTCACAGTCTCCAAACATATCGAATCTCAGATAGCCGATGTTGTTTTCAAATACATTTGTGTGGAATGAAAATTTAATCAGATCTTCAAATACTTCTGGGGACGGGATCTGAAAGAGTTTGGAAGAACAAAGCAAATTATTTGCTGGCACTGATAGCTTGGCACAAGACTTAGAGAGAATTATGTGGGTCAGTCCAGGTGGGACATATGTGATGAATGTGACCAAGTTTGAAGAACATAATGAATGACATTAAGAATTGTGTATATTAAATATAGGCTAGCATGGGCTGCTGCACCATTTGCACAGTATGGGGTGCATTAATAGCATGTCCAGGATCTGGATCAGGCGCCTATTTGTCAAGGCTCATGTTTATTTTTCAGAAATACAGGAATTTCCTTGGGCCAAAGAGGCTGAGCAGGCTATAAGAACCCTGCAGCATAGGCCACTATCCCAGGCCTGCCACCAAAGCCCACTTGTTTTCTTTAGCAGTTCATTCTAAATAAGGCACTTGTGACTTCTATAATCTCTTCATTGGCTTTAGTTGACAAACAGCTGCTGGCTGCAGGTGAAGTTGACCCCAGCCCCTCTTAATGAGACAGTCCCTGTGATAGCAAGGAACCTGATGTGTTGGGCATGTGCTAGGATACTCATGAGGCGACATGTTAAATCTCCTATGTGGTGGCCATGTGCCTGGAGTCTCACGTGTTAAGCTGTGATTAATTTCATTTTGTTTAGCTTATGTTATTAAACAGCAGAACTTTTTTTAATAGCAATGTGTAGCCAACTAATAAAGTTATTCTAGTAACCCCTACACACACTGGAGGCATAGCCTGCTCCTATTACCGTACTTGTGTCTTGCATGCATGTGTCTGGGAATGGAAAACTCTCCTTCAGCTTAAGGAGGTAAGGCTTTGGGATATATGTGACTTATGTGACCTTCAGCAATTTTTCCTTTTTCTCCTCAGGGGTGCTGTGAAAATTATTTTATATTTGCTTTTTAATCAGTTGCCCTCTGCTGTAGCTCAGCCCCAGACCATCCATAGTTTTACACACAAAAGAAGGAGTCAGTAGTGAGCCAGGTGCTAAAAGGTGTTCTCACAACCTGCAATATGCAACATAACTTGGGAGGCATTTGGGTTTTCTGCAACTGTAGAGGAATCAGGCAATCTCCTGCCCTACATGTAATGCTCTGTCCGGGGGTTGCACTCCTGCCAACAGCAGGTCCGCCACAGCAGAAGGAGGATTTCCAAGGTGTGTGAATACAGCTGTACTTGACATAGCTCAAGCACTCTACCTTTACCTGGGGGAATGTTACCCAAAGTATCACACTTCTGGTCTGGGCTGTTTCATCACTCAGTACCTTCTGTATGCCAAAGTTTCCAACATTAAAAGCCCTGTTGGCCAGTAGTCATTGTTCTGATGGTAAGGGCAAACTCTACTGAGTCCTTTTCTGTACCCCTCTTTCTCACTGTACCTTGCAAAAATAACCACTGTATCCAGACTGTAAACATATCAGTCCAGCACTACTGAGTTTGTAATTTCCAGTCTACTTCCCAGTGACAGCAATGCTGCTTGATCTGCCCACTGTACTTTGATTTACAAATCACAGTTTTGAAGAATATATCCGGCATGCATTGCATTATTCTGACAGAGTTTATATCTAGTTCAGAGGTACTGGTCTCCCCAGGAGAAAAAAATCATCACTCATTGGTAACATCTACAAATAAAATTGATGTGTTACTCTCAGCCACTTACTAATGGTCCTGTAACTGAACACATAGATTTCTTAGCTTTGTCTCCAACAGTGATTGCTAGATGCATACCCATAAGCATGTTAATTAAGAATAACCTTTCTGTCTATGGTAATTTTTTTCCTACTTGTTCTTTTACTGTGCTGCATCACATCTTTGTTCACTCAGTACTTGCTAGCAGTGTTACTAACTCTTGGAAGTTCATTACAGATTTCAAAGTGGGCAGGGTGCTCTTACAGCCTCAGGTCTCATGGGGTAAAGTGAATATGCAGGGATCTCAAAGAAACTCTTCTTAATCTTCATGGCTGAAGGAAAAGGTAAGAGAATATATCTATTCTAAAGGTTCTAAGACCAGAAGTAAGATGAAAAGCACTCAGAAAGTAATTTCAAGGGGGTGGAGAAAAAGTACAGCCTCTTAATATTTAAACAAAAGAGGGGAGGAGGCTGGGACTGACAGTTGAGAGTCACTCTTCTGGAAAACTGCAGGTTCATGAGATTGGCACATGGGCCATGTGCAGCTGGTATCAGAGGTGAGTCTAGCTTCAGAGCAAAACAGCACACTCTCCTTCGAAAGGCAGGGCTCTGTTTGCAGGCCAAGTGCAAGCTGGGGAGGATGCAGCTGAAGTAAGATCCTGCTGCTCACTAAGGCAATGTTTACATACAAATGACTTGATGGTTAAATATAAACCCTCAGGCGCCCTGAGTAAGAACACTATAAGCAATGTGGCTAGACTAAAGGACCTCCAAGCTAACACCACTTAAGCCAAGGAAGAACTGATTTTTGTCAACTATATAGGGTCTTCACCCCTATTCTGCAGTCTCCTTCCACATGTGAGTGGCCTAACTCAAAATGTAGTGTGATACAAAATAGGACCTAGAATTCTACCCTGGAATTAATGCATGGAATTTGACCACTGATTCTGCTACTGACACATGCACCAACTATGGGCAAGCTGCTTTTCCAGTTGTGTCTCTCCTTCCTTTTTCCTCTCCCCTAAACTGTTTTGTCTATTTAGATGGAAACTGTATATTCATAGCTAATTTTGTGCTGACCATTGCCATGTAACACTGATTTCTATTTAGGCTGCTAATGCTGTCAACAGCCAGCTACTAAAATATTATCAGCAAACACCCTTGTGCCATTGCAAATCGTGAGATTGGTTTAAGAACCATGAGATCTTGGGAGCTAGGTAGCGGGGTTGTGCCTTTATTTCTTAGAGTAACATTTGGGTTCCTTGTGTATCTTCACAGGCTGGAATGTAATGGTCCATCCTAGTAGGTCCCCCAGCTCAAGGACAGAGCAGGATCAGCTGTATTCCCTGAGAGCTGATTCTCACTTGCTCTTAAAAACACCCAGATCTCTGGGTGATTTCCAGGCAATCCAGTCTAGTATGTCACTAGTCTTACTATTACAAAGATGTTTTTAACATGTAGTGTAAGCAGTTTGAGTTCACTGCTTTCTACAGTTTAAGTGCATTACTTCTTGGCCTATTCACCATAGGCAAGGGAACAGATTATTCTCTTAACATCTGTAACACCCGCTTACGTATCTGAAGACTGTTTTCATGTCTCCTCTCAATTTTCTTCTCTCTGGAATAAACAGCTCAAGTCTTTCAAACTTTTTCAAGATAACTCTATTCAGTCTTCTCTTTATTCCTGTTACTCTTTTCTGTGGTGTCCCCACTTGAGCCACATCTTTCCAGAAAAGCATTGCCCAAGACTGTGCATAGTTTACTCTAGCTGACTTTTCTTTAGAGCTGAATATAGCAGAAGACTTCACATGTCTTACTGATTATATTCCTCCTTATCCATCTCAGTCTGATGATGATTATTTTTACTGCAACAACTTGACTCTATTGACTTGTGTTCAGCTTATGAACTCTCAATAACTCATATACTTTTTTACAGGACTCCCCCTAAACAAGCTCTTTTCCTCACAGTGTTGTGCAGTCAATTACTATCACCCTAGAAACTGTGTAAGAACTTTTCATGTGTTCTTATTTAACCTCATCCTTCTTTTCACAGATAATTTCTCCATCTTCTCCATTTCCAGAATTTAGTTTTGAATTCTAATTCTGCCCTCCATGGCACCAAGGATGAGGGGGTTACCACAAGCAAAAGCTGAACCCTCTGGGACAGTGCTCTGGAAAGGATTAAAAGAGGTTATTTAAGGCTCTCGGTCACCATTGAGGGAGTGCATGGCAGAGTGAGAAGCTGCACTTTCACCTCACAAAGGGTGGCACTGCACAGTGGTGTGTAAGCCTGCTGTGGCAATACACAGCTTGCAACATAACTCATTGCAAGCCAGTGAGCTGTTAGTTTCTAGTCAATGTCCTGGAAGATTAGATTGGAAAGGAAAATCTGAAAATACGATTCATGGCTAAATTTTGATTTTCATCCAAAACCTGTTGAAAATCCTTAAAACGAATGCCAAATCTACTGTAAGATTAACGACAATGTAAAAAAATGAGCATAATCAGATCTCTTTGGTGGGACTGTAACTGTAAACATTGAGCTTGAATATCAAGATCAGAATATGAAAGATACTAGAAAAAGAACAAAAGTGATTAACAAAGTGTCATATTCTTTTCTGCACCAAATACTAGAAGCAAGCATGAATTGCAAAAGGAGAAGAGTCAATGAGAGTTAAACATGAGACATTTTTTGGCTTGCATAAACTTGTATAGTTCCACTGACTTTATTGTGGTTACGGTGATATAAATCAGCATCATATGGACACACAACTTTTTTTTCCACCTGTTAGCAACCGATGTAGCGATTTGATTATCTATCTCGATGCTTTGAGGCTCAGCATTTTGATTTCACTCATTAATGAAGGAGCATAAGCAAACTATACTCCTTTCCGGTGAAACATCTGTAACTACTGCTTCCTCCAGCAAGTACAATATTCTGCTATAGATACATATTATTTATCTGGGAAAAGGAGGACTTCAAATGCAGGAACAATTTCTCTTTATAAAGGATTGCTTTTTGTCTTCTACTCTAATTGTAATTTTCAGCTCCTTATCTAAAGCAATACAAAATTTCTCTTAGGTGTGAAGACTGCATTAAAAGTATTTGGGCATTATGAAGAGGCCAAAAGAGTCATTCAGGGAGACTCCTGTCACTTAAAATTGACATAACACATTTGCCAAAATCAGGCAGCAGTTCTTCCATAGGTAGTCTACAATACTTAGATATTAATGAACACAAATGTTTCAGTATGGAGAGGATGGTACGACTGGGGGGAGAGAGAGGCAAACAGAAGAATAAGAAGCAGGGATTATTGAACTGCACATTGGCAAGTTTACGGAGCTCTGCCTTACAAGCAAAATGCTACTTTCTGAATCACAAACAATATATACAACACTTGACTCTGGGAAGTCTGACTTTCCAAAGTGGCATTTATGCAGCAGACAACTCCAGCTACCATTGACCTTGCTTCTGTCATAGAGGAGACACATTCACTACCCTGTATTATGCTCCAGCAGCTCTTCTAGTGTAGAAAATTCAAAGGTCTATATGCATTTCACTTGTCTGTCTCCTGTGTCCCATCCCATCCTTCCTGCAGTTATTCATCATCACTTTCATTTAATTGTGTTGGATCTGCTTCACTGTCAAGGTCAGTATCAAGCAAATCCAACTGTCAAGGGAAAGGGTGGCTTGGAATGTATGTAGCTCTTAGGTTTTTGAGGAATAAATGTGACACAGCGTAAGAAACCCACTATGTCCATAGGAGGGTTAAAAAAATCACAAATGCAATTAGTGCCATCATGTAAGCTTCACTGTAATCTTAAGGCATATGCTCTCTGGGGTGCTGGTATAGGGTATTCCTGAAATGTTCCATAGAAAACATCCCCCTCGGCCCTGCAAAAGCAAGGCAGGAAATGAAGGTACCCTTGCTGCTCAGTGCTCTGCAGAATAGGTGAATTTTCTTTTACCTTTGTCACAAGGAAACACCTTTACTTCAATGACTTCGGTGTCTTGTTCACTCACCCCCTTTCATGTTAAAGTCTCTTAACACTGCTTTCTTTTATCTCTGTCTCCCAGTTTCCTCAAGCACTATGAAGGAATGCATCTGCCCTTGGAAACTATTTTAGCCTCATAAGAGACCCGTGCTTCTCCTCTGCTATTTGTACATTATTTCCCCTTGAAGAAATCTCACATTTGTCCTGATTTTCATCCACACTGATGTGATTTCCTTCTTGTGGATGTATTCCTGACCTCTTCCAGTCATTTCTCTTGACAAAGAACTGAGGTAAACAGAGGCATTAATTAGTATAATGGCATTTCCTCATTAGCTCTATCAGGATCAGAATTTCACGTCATGTGATAAATAAGGTATTTGTCCCATACATCCTGTTCTAAACATTCAAGGTCTGAATAAAGTTGGTAAGGTTTGCACAAGTAAAAATAGCCAACAATATCCATTAACAGCCTTCAGTGAATATTATGACTAAATTGCAAGATGGGCCCACATTGTATAATGAGGAGAAATTATGATATATCACTACTGATATGTTGCTTATAATTTATCAGGGACGTCTGTTGAAAACATCTTTTAGAGTGAAGTTTTCTACACCCAACAAATGTAAAGAGGGAAAGACTGATGGAATAGAAAAATTTTTTAATTATTTCTATTTAGCTTAGAGGCAAGAATGGGGCCACCATCTCTTGGTTAAAAAACTTGAAAAAAAAAGGCCTCCTCTAGCAATCCCTAGACTTTGGCCTTGACCTAGTGTTGGATGTAATACCACAAAGGTCATGACCACTTTAAATCATGCACTGCAAAAACTTCAGTGGGTGGAAGCCCACAGATTTACATTTAATAGTTACCGGACACTTCATATGTTCTGGTTCATTGCAAAGGAAAAAGTATTCTCTTCAAAAAGTAATTTTATGAGCCTATGGAGAAAAGACGTCTCTGGTAGCCATGCTACAGCAGTAGCCAGAAAGGAGTTAACTCCATCCAAGAAAGGAATCAGGTTATCCTAACCCTCCCTTTAATTTGAAGATGGAATTTTAACAAGTGCTCCTAGGAGCTCCCTCGAGCAAAACAATGAACAAGAAAGATTGCCAAGGCAGACCAGTGTATAAATACCCAGGCTCAGAAAAAAGCACAGACTGTTATGCAAACCACCCAGTAAGGGGAAAAGTAGATTATTAAAAAACAATTTCTCCATGGGGTCACCTAACTTCCACCCAGATACTTCTTCCAGAGTATTTCTAGGTCACTGGGAAACTGTCTGATGCTGAGCATGAGATACAATCAGAAAAACTTTTCACTGTCACTACCAAAGGTGTTGCTTGTCATTCTGATGTAATAGAAGTCAGGTACAAAAATTTTACATAGAAAAATCCATTTAAAAGCATGTGGCTGCATGTTTTTCAGGTCTATGCATTTACTCTAGTCCAAACAAATTTTTCTTAAATGAGAAACCTGTGTTTCTGCATTAATTTGTTACAGCTTGAAAAGCCACAGCACTGAGAGAGAGGGGATCAGAGAGACAATGAGATATCTTCCCTCTAACTGTGAAGCCCTGCATATTTGCTTGTGGCACATGGCAACTGAAAGAGGTTCACAGCCTGAAAGTTGTTCCCAAAATTCAGGCATCCAGAACTAGCATCTACTACCACAACCTACTACCCTAACTTGCCTTAGTGCAAGAGAGAGAGCTCAGCCTCCAAAACCCACTCAGGCACCGGTTTCTCCTCTGGGTACAGGTGGGTTTAGGATATGGGCTAGAAACAAGATTTCTGACTCAGTGCTCCCATTCTAGCTGGCATCAGTATAGCTGGGTACAAGACAGCTGTACCTGTGCTGGCGTGATCCCTGGGATGTTGTCCTTGGCATGTTCAGGGATGTAGAGTAACTTCAGGTGCTCATCATCAGAAAGAGCTTGCAAGTTGGCAGTCACCTTCCTGGCCAGCTCCTCTTCTGTATTAATCCTTTTATAACTGTCTTTGCTGGTACTCTTGGTAAGGTTAGATGCTATAACAGTCCCAATATCCATAAAGGCATAATTATTTGCCACAAGCTGGCCTACAGTTTGCAGTATCTGTGGCACCTGGGCACGCAGGTTAGCGATATGCTGAGCTACAGCCATGGCTTCACTGGCCTGGATGGTGATGTGTGGCTCCACCCCAGACACACTCCATACTTTGCCAGTGACTGGGCTGAGCACCACTTGGCTGGGGATGGAGGCATACAGTGAACTGTTACCAACACGGTAAATGCCCACTGAGAGGGAACCACCCACTGTGGGCTCACCAATAACTGTGGCCCGGTGTAGGTCCTTCATAGAGCGAGTAAAAGCTTCAGCTGCTGAGCCACTCATATGGCTTGTTAGGATGTAGATGTCCTTGAGGGAGCCATATCTCTTTCCAGTGACTTGGGGTAGAGTCCACACCTCTGTGCTGCGGGAGGTACTACGATCAAAGACAGTGTAGAGGTGTTGCCGAGGCTCAGGCTCAAAGAAGTAGGAACAAAGTATTGGGATGGCAGTGGAGTAGCCACCTGTGTTGTACCTCATGTCAATAATCATGGCATCTGTGTCCACCAGCTTGTTCCATACCATCTGTACCAGCTGAGGTCCAATGGCCTTTACAGTTTCTGCCTCAGCCATCATATCAAAGCGAAGGTAGCCCAGGTTGTCTGGCAAGACCTCAATTTTGAAGAGTGCCTCAATGATGTAGCTCAGCTCCTCAGGGCTGGGAATCATATTGGGAAGCTGTTCTTCTGGTGTTGGTTCCACATGGCTGTGGAAGACATGAAGCCGATGGTCTCCTGAGGCCTCCTGCAAGTCACTGGTAAGCTGGGAAGCCAACGTCTCAAAGTCAACAGCTGATCGATAACCTCCTTGGGCCCGTTTGGTGCTGAGCATAGCACTGGCCTTACCAGCCACTTCTGGGATGGCATAGTGAGCTTCTAGGAGTTTTCCAGTACCCTCTAAAAGTACTCCCATGTTCTTGTGGAAAGCTAGCACCTCTTCAGCCTTCTCCAGTGCATCCTCAGCCAACACTATGGCATCAGGTACAACTCCTCCCCCCATCCAGCTTTCCCCATGGTTGTCAATGAAGGTGATAACAGGAACTGTGATAGTTAGGCCACGGGTTATTCCCTGCTCAGGCTGCAGCAGAGGGAAGGTATGCGTGTGTGAGAGGCTTCCTGCTGTGATTTCACCAATCAGTGTGGCACGGCCCAGGGACTGCATGAGGTAAGCAAACTCCTCAGCAGCTGTAGCAGTGTGATGGCTGGTGAGCAGATAGATGCCACGCTGAGCCCCATAGGGCTGGCCCAGCAGTTCTGCCTGGCTGTTGTACTCCTGTGTGCGGTTGGTGCGCCTGTCATAGGTTGTGAAGAGATGGACAGGGCCAGCAGCAGTATCTTGGAAATAGGAGAGTAGCACAGGCACACCAGAGGAGGAAGGGCCCCCAGGGTTGTAACGCAGGTCCATGATCAAGTTCTCTGTATTTTGGAGGGGCTCCCACACTTTGTGGACAATGTAAGGTCCCAGTTTATCAAGCACGGACGCATCTGCAAACTCATCAAAGCGCATGTAACCAACATTGCCTGGCAACACTGACACCTTGAAGACAGTATCCACCAAGGCATTCAGCAGTTGCTCATTATCAGGTAAGTTGGCTGCCACTGCAATCGGTTTCTCAGCTGGGGGGGCAGCAACTTCACCTGGCATCATGACTCGGACCAACAGGCGGGGGTCTTCAGATAAGGTCTGCATCTCAGTGTTGAGCTTGGTGGCTAGGTCCTCTGCTGACTGCACAGAAGAGAAGTCAGAGGTGAGGAGGTGCTGCAGCAGCGCTGGCACCCGGTCCACTAAGCTGTAATAGTCCTTTAATATGTTTGTGAGATGGCTTAGGGTGCCAGGCACTGCTCTGCGCACTGCCAGGATGTCCAGGGATTTCTGCAAGGCTTGCTCTGCCTCAGTGGCCACACATGGCATCACCCCACTCACCTCCCAGCTCTGTCCACCCCCACTCAAGGGACTCACAGATCGTGACACAGGAACCATCATATAGAAATTGGAGGGGCCAATACGCAGCTTCTGGATGTCTAGTGATCCCCCAGCTGTCTTCTCCCCAACAGTGATAGCCCTGTTCATGTGCTTGAGGATGTAAGCCACATCTTCAGCCACTCCTGTGGTGTGCCGGCTGATCAAAACGATGACATCTTTGTCTTTGCTGTACCTCTCTCCCAACACCTTTGGCAGTGTCCATATCTCTGTGGTAGTGTTGGAGGGACGATTGTACACAGTTTCAACATGCAGCATCTTGTCTTCTTCATGCAAGTATGAGATGATGAAGGGGAGGCCAGAAATCTGTCCTCCAGTGCTGTGACGAAGATCTATCACCAGGGCAGATGTCTCTATCAGGGTCTTCCACACCTTGTCCACCAGAAAAGCTCCAACTTTCTGCACAACATCCTGTCCTATGATATAATCAATCCTCAGGTAGCCAACATTGCCCTCCAACTTGTTATACATGACCACTTGCTCAATAAGACTCAGGAGTTGTTCACGAGTGGGAGAAGCCGCAGCTTCTTGTTTGGGAGCTGCATGCGGTGATGGCTCATAGGAAATCACAAGTCTTGCATCATTCAGAGCACCCTGCACTCCAGCTGTCAAGACACTGGCCAGCATTTTTGGATCTGAAATGTCCAGGATCTCCCCACTCTTGATTGCTTGTTCAATGGCTTCTTGCATTCCCACTAGGTTTTCAGGGTAGCAGTAGTTATCCAGAAGGACTTTAGCCATGTCCAGCACTAGAGCTGGCTGAAAGATTTCCTCAGCAGGTATGCTGCACAGGATCAGTGCTGAAAACAGGAAGAAATTTGTCCTGATCATTTTCTCTTTGCATGGAATAGAAAAGAAGGAAAGAGGTCAGAAGCAATTATTGATCAAAATGAACATAACTCTTCAACGACTCTCTGTTTGAGAACCACACTGAAATCCCTGTGTTGAATCGAGGTGCACTGAAGAGATAAAAATCTTTTATCTGCATTAAACCTTTAATCTCATTAAAATGGAGTGCATCATCTGGAGTGCACCAATAGACGAAGTTCAGCTTCTTACTACTTCACACCCTCTTATGAAACAGTAATAAACTTCAATCATCAAGAAAGATCTTTCTGGCAGTTAATTGTTTCCAAAAGGTAATGGATGGCCTGCTATAAACTGGTCCTGGCTTATCCTGACAATAGATTGCTTAAATGCAAAACTTTTATTTTAACCACAATTAGAACAGCAGTCATGCAGTGTTTTACCATTATTTATGAAAAGCTTATACCAGGCCATTCTTCAGTGACTTAGTTGTATCAATATTTAATATTTTTTTCAAAAGTTGTTGACAATACATTGTCTTTGGTATTTTTCAGTCTGAGCTGCAAAGGACTGTTCTTACACTCTATGACTAAGGGCTCCAAACAAGGAACTCCAGACATTCAGAACAGCTCATAAAATCCAAGGTAATGACAGCCTGTTAATTTCTGTGCTGAGAATTGCCAGTATTTTAAACGGGACTTTGAAATACATTTGCCTCAACATAATACAGCTAAATCTGAGGTGACTTTAATCTTCATAATTTGCACTCAATTAGGATTTACTTGTAATACCATTGAGTAACATATGGCCATGTCTGATGACAGCTCCCAGCCAATAGACTTGAGGCTCAACATACCAAAATAGAACGTGGGGGGTTGTTTTCTTCTGCTCAAAATGTATTTGAGACCCTATTGTATTAAGAGTTTGAAAGAGGATCAGAATATGCGGGATGCAGCTGCAGGCTGTACCCATGTGAGTTGTCAACATTCAGAGCTCCAGTATGACACGCCAAAGACATACGAGATCAGATTCTTGGCTGTAAGTCCAAAATTAGTTGCTACCCCAGCCATTCTGCTTGCTGGATGTAGCTGCAATAGACTAGAGAATCTGGGAAGAGCACATTTCTGTATTGCTTTCAAAATGTCACTTGTTGCTACATATGAACACATGTGCAGGGAAGAGTCTGAAGATAGTCTGGCCTGGCTAGGTGCACTCTCTTGGTGCCATGTGTGAGTGTCATGAGTGAAGCCTGCCACTCACATAAGCAAAGTTTAGTGCAGTCCTCTCACTGGGTCATTCAGGTGTAGTACTAAAGGAGTTTTGTGAAGCTCCTTCCTTTAACAGCTCTGTATAGGAATAGCCTCATCTATATATTCAGGTACTATATCATCCCATGGTTGATTCGTATCTGTGCGTATGTCAACGTACAAATGCAAAGCCATCAAAGAGAACAATTAAATTGTTCTAAGAGTCCATTAGAGAAATGGACTATGCTCTACGGCAAAAGCTGTAAAACTTGATGTTATAATCACAGGTGTCTCTGGTAACCAGACTGTGCTATCATCTGTAAAAAAACTCTAGTTTAAAAAATGTTGCCACTTCCCTTATCAAAGCAGAGGTCTACGATATAGCTGAAATTATTGTTGCTAATGTATAAATAACTAATTAAACTCCAAGTGTGCCACAGCAACATTCTGTGTGTCTCATTGGTAGAGAAGCAGTGAGATTAAAATCTGTTGTATCTTCTTAATTTTGGGGAGCTGCTCTATATTGTGACAATGTGTGACATCCATCACAGACTTAACTCCAGGGCATTATCATCAGTTTGAACTGTTCTTCCTGCTTTCTTCCTGCAAAAAATAAACCAGCAGTCTAGGGCAAAGGTAGCTGGAATAAAAACTCTCAAGCATAGCCACACCTGGTCCAGAAATTGACTTTTGAGCTATAGGGTTTATTGCCAGAGCTGCATTAATTCCTCATGTGGCCAACAGAGTGGACAGGACCCTGGGCAGATTGAATTCTATTGCTTTTCTAACCCATGGCCCTTCTGTCTGTCTATCTTAGAAAGTTTTTGGGACAAGGGATCTCTTTTGCTACATTAATGTCTACCATATACCTTACCTTTACTTCCAACCTCTGATACAGTCTCTAAATGTCATTACCAGAGGAATAATTAATTGCACACACTGTAGTGTACGTTAAGATAATAAATTCAGTAGACAAGATATTGTATTTCATAAATTCCCAACTTAATTCATAAGCACCATGTGCTCTCTGCACTGACTAAGGTAGGGGACATCTGAAATATTGAGCTGTGAAATTATGAGCTGTGATTGTGTAATTAATGCATACAACCATGAGGTGGATGATGCATAGATAATCTTAATTCTGACATTTCCCACTTTGGAGTGCTTAACATTTTAATATTACTCGCAATTTTTGTGTGTTCCAACATCTTTCAATTAACTTGAAAGGGAAGATATAGACTAACTGATTTTGTTATGATGGAAACAAAGCATAAAGAAAACAATGAAGTAAAAATGTGTAAACATGGAAGAGTTAGATACTTCGCCTGCTGGACTAGGGGGTTGGGTTGTTCGATGGGTCTCCTTTTTTGTTTCTTATTTCTTTCTTCCTTTTAATCTTGCCGGGGGCTGGAAGAGAGCATGCCCAGGAGCCAAGGAGCAGTTTACAAAATTGATCCATTCTGACAGGAATTGGGAAAAAAAGTACAATAATACATGTCCCCAAGAATAAGTCATGATGGATCTCTATTTCTGTCTGTCTGTACAGTAGATTTAAGCATGCAGCTTTCTATCCCAGAAAAAAGAATGACATTGCATGTTTATGGAGTATACATAGTACTTTCTTTTTGAATCCTTGAGTACATAGTACATAATGGACACATATTTATATGAAGCTATTTACAAGTATAGGATAATGGTGGAAATAAGGTTAAATAATTTACCATAAAAATTAGAGAAATTAATATTTTCTGGATTTCTTTAAAGTAATTTTATTCTGCTGTTTAAATAACAGCAAATCTTAAAAAGAACACATTGTTTTTTAGAAGGGTTTTCCTTTTCACAGTATTATTCCCTGCCACTTTCTGCTTTTAGAATAGAAATTAACATAACTTGAAATGACAAATTACTCAAATTACCTCAGTTTCAACTTGCTGTGCAAAGGATGTTATAGGGCGTCACAGATGTTACGTATGAGGTTTTAACAGTCACCTCATCTTACTCTGAATGTAACAGACATAGATGAACTGCCCATGAAGATCACACTCAGAAAGGAGACAGTAAAAGACAGTAACTGAGCATTTTTTATCAGGGAATGTGCCAGATAATTGCTTTCCATAACTAAATGAGTTTTGTATATCCGTTGTTAAACTCATTATATGATTTTTTTTCTTTGCATTTAAGGAAGTATTTCTACAGATTCACAATGTTCTTGTCCAGTGAGGCCTTATCTAGAAGTTAAAAACCATGAAATAGCCCTCTCCTGCCTGTGATTGCTGTAAAATAATAAGATTAGAAAAAGAATCTATTTCTGTTTTTCTAACATTTATTGTGCATCATATCACATTCTAAAGATTTTCATATTAGAAGAGCTGGAAACTGTAGCTGAGTTTTTTATGAAGCTAGGGTTCTGAGAAATATGTAGATGATTGTGATTAGTTTTACCCAGTAAAAGCCAAGACATGGTAACACTCCACAGCTCAATTTATTCCTCAAGTTCAGATACATATTCTTCCTCATGCACTTTATCACTAGCACACAGAAACAAACCTGTCTTTACAATGTAAATATAAAATAAATACTTTTCCCAACATGCATGACTTAAAAAGCTGGGACAGTGGAAAAAATGTTTTTGCACACTGGATCCATTCAGTGATCTATTTCTCTTGCCCTGAATTCAAAATGACAGGTGTCACTCACTGTTACCTTGGTAATTCTTTATAGATGGTGTTAGAAGGTAAGAATCCTTCCTTGTATGGTGTAGATTCTTCAGGCTTTGGAGAATGTCTATTTACTTACTCATTCCTTGATACATATAAATTTTTATTGAACATGTTTTATGCAAGTCTGTTCATTGAACTCTGAGTACCTAGATCCAAAATGTAACTCTACCATCAATTCTAATTTCTAATATAACCCAAGCCAAATTCCTATTTGATTCTAGTTTTGTGCTGAACTCAATAGCTCAGGCCCAGCTGTAGCTTTTATAACTCATAAAAATTTATGATCCTTTAAAATCTGTCCACAAGTATTTCATTTTCTGACTTCCTGTGGGTATGAACTTCCCACATACTCTGAGAAGAGGTATTTTCTTTTATCTATCCCAGTCTAGTCTGCATGCATGGCCTGCATCACTCAGATCAATTCCACAAACTCACATGGCATGCTAAAAAGCTTCCACAAAACCGAGATTAAATGGTTTTTTTCTAGATAGTTTTTGCTTTATGTATTTTGCTCTAATACTCCCTTGTTCTCATCTGTGGCTGATCTCACCGTTCCCGCATCAGGCCCATATATACCATTTGGTCACAGACCAACTGCAGTAGCAGGAGGCTCATCTGAAGGTGGCAGCAAGAACAGTTTTTTCACTGACAGAAATGCCAACAGGATAAAGGTGAAATTTGGAAAGAAACTACTTCTGATTTTAGTAGAGCCTTCTACTACAGCCCTATTTTAAATTATATATATGAATTAAAATTAATGTAAAGGTGATATTTGGCTCCTAAATACTGAGAGGGAGGGTTTATTAGCTCAAGCACAGGACCATGCTAGTGAAATATTTAATGCTTCCAGGACTTTGGTAAGTATTTCTAGACAAACCTTCACTGCCTTTTATAGAGGTACAAGTCTGGGTCAGTGCTACTTCATGGCTGTCTGCGACGGGCATGACTGGATTCCATAGGTATGGTCTAAGACTGTCTTTTCTGTTGTTCTTGTACTGTTTGACACAAAGGAAATCTTGTCCCTGAGTAGGCTTTCTAGGCCCCTTAGTAATACAAATAATGAGTAGTATCACCCTTAGACTCTTTTATAATTCTCATGCCAAAAGAAGTAATGTTAGGTTTT